GTTCATAGAATCATCTAGGTGTTCTGGAAAGGAGGGAGGGTGAGGGGAAGGAAAGCAGGAAGGAGGAAGGGAAGCAGGAGGAAAAGAGGAAAGAAGGAACAAAGAGGAAGGGAGACAAGTAGGAAGAGGTTGGGAGGAAGGGAGAGAAAGAGACAGGAAGGGAGGGAGACAGGAAAAAAGGAAGGAGGGGGGAGGGTAGGGGGGGCAAGAAGAATGGCTTGGCTCTGGTACTTCACACCTGTAATCCTCACTACTCAGGAGGCTGAGATCTGAGGACTGTGGTTCTAAACCAGCCCGGTGCTTACCTCCAATTAGCCACCAAAAAGCCAGAAGTAAAGGTGTGGCTCAAGTACACTAGCCTTAAAAACAACAACAACAACAAAAATCTTAGGGACAGTGAAAGCACCAGGAGCGCACACGCGCGCGCACACACACACACTCACACACACACACGAAGGATGGAGGGAAAAGGGCTGTGTCGAGTCAGTCTTCTTGATCAAATTATTTCAATTACATTTTAGAGAAAAGGGTAATAACAAGTTAAAGACGCCAAGAGAAATCAATCTGGCAAATCCAGATGGCGCAAATTCTCTGGGACAAACAGCTCATCTGCTTTGTCCAGCGAGTATCAGGAGACCTTGGAGGTGAGGGAAATGAGGACTGAAGACTGGACGGTTACCAAGCCAGGGTAGGCCAGGCTGCAGATCCCCACTGAACGTGCCAACTGTAAAAAGCATATGGTTTTCTTCAAGAAAATATGACAGAATTTTGAGACATAGTTTTGAGAACACATGACTTGAATATTAAATTCTGCTAATGTATAGTTCTGTCAAGATTATGTTTAATAAGTCTTCATATGTTAGCAATGAACCCGAAAGTATCTGTAAGCAGAATGTCTGGGCTTTGCTTTTCAAAAGCCAAGAAGCAGTCAAAAAAAGAAGAAAAAAAAAGAAAGAAAGAAAAGGAAAGAAGAAACATGGCAAAATGTTGACATTTGTTGAGCTTCAGTGATTAGTACATTTGGGTTCATTATAATATTCTATTTTTGTGCAAGTGTAAAATCTTCCATAATCACAGGCAGAATTGAAAGAAATGAATGGAAAATGTGCTGACTGAATTCTTCCTTTCCCAATTTGCTTAGAGGGGGAAACAAAGAAACAAAATCCTCTCTGCCACATGGGGAGAATTCCCAGCCCTACTGAGCCCACGGTCCTGAGTTTCAGAGTCCACAAAGAAAGCCATGTCCCACCACGCCTGACACCATCCAGGGCTGGCTGGTGGAAAGGTCACTTGAGGAAGGGCTGCTGGTATGTGTGTGTGTGTGTGTGTGTACATGTGTGTGTGCGCATGCGTGCATGCATGCGTGTGTGATTTTGTCTGTGTAATGCTGGTAGGCCATTCTTTTTTAAATTTTTCCCACGAGTTCCACTTTGTCAGGTTCACACCCACCCACAACATGCCTCACCCCTCTTCCCTCACCTCCCAAGCTACCTCCAGGGCTCCACTGTCTCACGCGCACATGAACTCGCTCCAAGAGGTCCTTTAAGAGGATGCAATATATTTTAATAATAAGAAGCCAGGTGGTGTGGTACCATTCAGAGATGGCTGACACTGGCTTTCTCCAGCTCCCTCCTGCATGGCCAGCTGCTGCCCACACCATGGCCAAGCACCTTGAACCACAGTGAACATGAAAAGCAGGCTGGGCACCCATCGCTCATGCCAATGTCCTAGCTCGTGTGTGTGTGTGTGTGTGTGTGTGTGTGTGTGACAGAGAGGATGAGCATCGAGGCTCAAGGCCAGCCTGGGAGAAAACAAGTGCACAAGATGCTTTCTCCAGAAGGGCCGGCACCACGGCGCAGGCTGGGTATACCCCGGCATGCTCTGGGCAGGAAGCAAGACCTGCCTCAAAAATAAGGGGCAAAAAAATACAGTTTGGAGGCGTGGCTTTGTGAAGAGAGCGCCTGCTAAGCAAGTGCAGGGCCTGGAGTTCCAAACCCCAGCACTGCCAAAGATAGAGAAGAAAAAGTAAAAAGGAAAAGGAAAAGGAGCTATGGGTGCAGCTGGTGCGGTGCCCCTGGCAGGGACGTCTTCAACACCACAGCAGTGGCTACACCTGGCACACCAGGGCCCACGAGTTACTGGAGAGAGGACAGGGCTGCAGGGGCTTTTGAGTGAGCAATGGCTGGCTCGGAGGAGGGAGGGTGGGAAGCATGGGGGGGGGCCCGGAGTCAAGGCTGAGCTCCTTAGAGCCAGCTGCAGCAAGGGACAAGAGAGCAAAGAAGAGGAGGAGAGGAGGGCCACAGCCAGTGTGGCGGGAGCCCATGAAAAGCAGGAGGCTTTGGTACAAAGAAACCATGTGAAGAAGCAAGCCTTCGACTCCAGGCTGAGGCCAGCCATTACTCAGACACCCAAAGCCTGATCTGTGGTGAACTTCCGGGTCTTCAGCTCAGTGGGACTGAGCCAAGCAAGGTGGCAGGAATGCTATGCTGAACCCCACTCGGGTCATAAGCATGGCAGCCCACATTCTGGGGCACATGTGTGGCCACACCTGGCCCAGTAGTGTCCCTGAACTGTGACGCCATCGATCACCCTCAGCACACCCACCCCCTGGCCTGTCATTCCCAGGACACGGCCAAGCCACACAGCGAGCCTCAGACCTGCCCTCACCTATGAGAGCCCCTGCCCAGGAGAGGCCTAGGCCACCCAGGCCAGGCTGCTGGGCCTGCACACCTCCTGCGCGAGTGTGGACACTGCCAGGGCCTCGGGGGCAGGGGAGAGGCCCAGCCCACAGCTGAGAGGTTCAGAGGACACCGGATGCCACAGAGGCCTGACCCCAGGGGCCCTAACCATAGGGCCCTGACCACAAGAAACCTATGTACCAATCACGGATGGACTCAAACTTTGGCAGCTGGAGGGGAACAAAGTAGGACCTCAGGGCGCTCCAGTCTAGCTCGCCTTCCACACCCCTGCTTCCTCTCCACCTCTACCCCCTGCTTCCTGCCCACTCCTGCTCCCTGCTGCCTGTCCATTTCTGTCCCCTGCTTTCTGTCCACCTCTGCCATTTGCTTCCTGCCAATCCCTTCCCCACTTCCTGTCCACCCCTGTCCTACTTCCTGTCTACCCCACTCCCTACTTCCACCCCATTTTCTGCCCACCCACCTCCCACCCCACTCTCTGTCCACTCCACCCCTTCTTCCTGCCCACCCTGCCCCACTTCCTGCCCATCATGCCCCACTTCCTGTCTATCTCCACCCCACTTCTGTCCACCTCCATCCCCTGCTTCCTGCCCACCCGCGCCCCACTTCCTGTCTACCTCTGCCCCCTACTTCCTGTCCACCCTGAGGGAGGCCGCTTCATCATGCCCTCTGCCATGACACAGTCTCTCCACAGACATGAGAGGACAGGGCCGGTGATCACAGACAGAAACCTTTGAACTCATGAGTAGAAACGAACCCTCCTCCCCTTCAGCTGAGTGCTGTCAAGTGACAGCAGGGTTGCTCCTCAGAGCCTTGGGCTCAGGAGGACTCCAGCACCATGTACACGGGAGCCGGGGTCCCTAGGAAAGGATGCTGGGGCCAGGTGCAGGCCTTCTCTGACAGTCTGAAGGTCTGATGGTGTTGTTCCTCAGCCTCCCTGAGGTGTCCAGGGGTATCTGCCAGGGAAGGGCAGGGCACTGGCCACTGGCCACGAGTACAGAGACGAAGCCTTCCCTTCTCCCAAGCCCATGGGAGCTTTCCCCATCGCTAGAAAGCAATCTGTCTCTTCTCCCTTGGAGAATTGTTTTCCCTCCTAACATGGAGATGTGTTTCTCTCACATGCCTTCTTCATCATCTCTGACCAGCCTATGTAGAGGAAGATGAACTTCTCCATGTCACTTCCATTTGCTTCCTCGGGCCTGGCAGGCTTTGCATCCCTTCACCCCATCAATTGTCTGCCACACACCCGCTGCCTGCCATCCAAGAAGCGCCTCAAGTCATCTTGTAGGCTTTTCTCCCCTTGAAATAGAAAGTCTTTCTACTCAAGACATATCTTAACTAAGTAAGGAAGGAACCCAGAAGCCACAAACCATGTCCTGGAAGGGTTAGAAATATCACAGATGGCTCGGCCTGTCTCTCGGCAAAAATAAATGGCCAGGTGGAGCACACCAGGCCGCTATGGAATCACAAGTCACAATCCCCGAGGCAGAGGCCACAGAGGCATCTCCTTCTAAATAAAACCTCGTGCACAGGTGTCTGCCTCACGGAGATTATACCTGTGTGCATACAGTAACAGAGAGGTCTGGTATTTTTCAAGAACTGAAGATAAAATTCCAGAGCCTGAATTTATTAATTCATTTAGTTGCTGCTCTAAGGGATATAAAATAGCACAAAGTTAAATACAGTCCTTTTGGAGCAATACTGGGGACTAACCAAGAGTCCTGTGCCTACCAGGCAAATGCTCTACCACTTGAGCCACACCTCCAGCCATTTTTACCTTAGCTATTTTTCAAACAGGACCTCCAGCCTTAAAGTGCCAATCTTCCTACCTGCACCTCTCGCCACTGTGCCCAGACAATGCATGTGGAGATGGGGTGTCTCATGAACTTTGTGCCTGGGCTGATGTTGAACCACCACCATCTCAATCTCCGCCTCCTCCGTGGCTGGGATTACAGGCGTGAGCCACCACACCCAGTGAGAAGCAATGCCATTTTCTATAAAAAAAAAAAAAACACTTCCTGGACATTTTACAGGACACTGTTTCATGTCAGAGGCAGCCATCACCGGGAGCCAACAGGAGCACCAGAGCCACTAACCAGCGCCCCTCCCAATGAGAGGGAGCGGCAGTGCGCTGGTACAGACCAGTGGTGCTCTGCCCAGGGTGCAGAGCAGAATGTCAGGGGCAGCCTCTGCCTCTGCTACTCAGCGTAGCTGTGACCGAATGCCTGGCAGTCAAACTAGGAGAGACTTGTTTTGCTAAACGATGAGGCTGGTGAGTGAACACAAATCAGTCAGGAGTCTAACCTTGATCCCCAGCTCGATGTTCTCCCCACCATACACGTCCATGCCCGGGTCCAGCAGGCCGATGTCCCCAAAGAATCTCCTGTTGACCACGAAGGAGCAGCCGATCATGGCAGGCGTCCTGTGAGAGAGAGAGAGAGAGAAAGAGAGAGAGAGAGAGAGAGAGAGAGAGAAAGCTAAGCTCAGCAAAGCCCAACAGCAGCCCTCGGCTTCCCCAGAGCAAGTGCTGGTCCACGCCTGTCTCCCAGGGACCCTGGGTTCCCATCCCCAGTTCTCTGTAAGGCCAGGAGCCTTTGGTTTCTCAGGACACAGACGCGATGAGGACTGGTAGATGTGATTCTCATTGTGCAGCACAAGTTCATGGCAGATCCCATGAGTCCACAGAAGACTCCACAAGTCCACTGCAGACTGCATGAGTCCACAGCAGGCCGCACAAGCCCACGGCAGGCCCCATGAGTCCACGGCAGACCCCACAAATCCACAGCAGGCTCACGAGGCCACGACAGACCACATGAGTCCATAGCAGGCCCCACAAATCCTAGAGATGAAGGGCAAGGCAGGCTTGCTCTCTGCCCATGAAGGAGAGGAGATTTAACATGTGGAGAGTGTGAGGGGGAATCGGAGAGGAGGCATGGAAGGCACGGGAGCCAGACTCCATGTTCTGTGGGAAGCTGCTTTGTGTTTTTCTGTACCGAGGTTTCCACTCGGATCTCATGCTTGCTAGGGAGGTGCTCCTCTGCTGAACCACGCCTCCAGTGGTTTTTGAGATAGGATCTGGCATCTTGTCCAGTCACACATTTGGACAGTGTCACAAACTATTGTTGTGCTGTTTTTGCCTCTGTTTCCAGATTTATTATCACCCTGGATACCACATTGATTTCCTTAGCACCCACCCATGTCTAGCCATGTTTCTAGTGCTACTTGGCTATTTCTAATAACCAAGATATATTTTTCCATTCAAGCACCACATAGTAATTCATTGTCATCATCACCACCACCACCATCATCATCACCACCACCATTATTATAATCACAATCACCATTATCATCATCATCATCACTGCAAACACTTACTGAGCAGAACCATGTACAAAGCACCCTTGTCTATTTGCTGTACAAAGTAGAGTGTGTCAGCATGTGTCACCTAGGTACACAATACCTGACTCCAAGTTAGACTGCAGAGCTATTGTAACAAACCCAGCATGATACTGACTCAAAACCCACGGTAATGGAAGATCCAGAGATCAACCCACAGAACACAGCTCCAGCCTTCTTCACAGGGTGCAAGGGCACACAGGGAGGATGAGGAGAGATAGTGCCGTCCCACGGGGAGAAGGCCTTGGCCTGCACATAGACCAGCCCAGCTCAGAGGCCCTCATCCAGGTCAAAGGCCTGGGACTACAGGAAAGCCTGGAGAAACGCTTCTGGACACAGAGACAAGGACTTTCTGAACAAGACCTGGGAGCTCAGGAAGCAGGAGCCAGAGCTGACAGTGAGGCTGGATCCCACACTGCCTAGCACAGGAAGACTGGTAAGCAGACAGCATACGCTCCACACACTGCCCCAATGCAAAGAGGCAGATCAGGCCACCCGAAGACACAGAGGCACAGGGCAACAGCAGAGTTCCTGATCTGAGCCCTGTTCTTTTCAGAGAAGGCTTCATGGAAGAGCTAGGCAGACTACTACATGGCCACACTACACCTGACCACAGATCCATGTGGCCACAAATCATACTGCACCTGACCACAGAGCCACGGGACCATGCCATACCCCACCACAGAGCCAGATGGCCAGGAGACCACGCTGAGAGGTTGTGTCAGATTTCGGTCACTGTAACAAGTCTCTTATGACGAGAAGAGGTTGGTTTGGGCTCCTGATTTGGAAGGTTCCAATCTATGGTCAGACTCCGTGTTTCCAGGCCCCTGATGGAGGCCAGAAGGCCACTGGGAAGAGCATGGGGGGGCAGGACCACTCACTCCTGGCCAGAGAGCAAAGAAGAAGGGGAGGGATCGAGGCCCACCCCCCTGCCAGGCCCCCAATAACCTCAAGACCACCCCACTGGGCTCCATCCCCCAGGTCCCAGCTCCTCCCGACAGAGCTGTCTGGGGACCAAGCCTTATATTAACCCAGGCCTCTGTGGGACATTTGAGACATAAACTACAGCACGAGTGAAGTGGCCAGGCACGGACTGGTGCAAAGGAGGGCAGAGCCAGGGGTAGCCCGTGGTGCTGGGTGCCACATCCTGCCCCCAGAGCCAAACCAGCTCAGCTAGGTTACGGCTCAGAGCCCTGGCACTGGGTGGGGCAGGTGGGGCGGGGAGGAGGGATAGGAGGCCCGCTTGGACAATTTTGGGGAATAATTTGGGGGAAGGAGTTGTCCAGTGGGTGCAGAGTTCTCCACTGGCAAAATGCTATCATTTAATACCCTGAGTCCCATTTGCCTCTGCTCTACATAGAAACACCCAAAGGGTAAGTAGCCCTGCCTTAAAAAACCAAACAGCACCATGATCAGCACACAGATGCCTCACAGCGAGTGGATGGTCGGCTGGCACACCGCAGCTAAGCCAGGGATTACTGGCCAGGAGTAACCCACACCCAAGTCACCGCTTCCTGGGAATGCAGAGTGGTGTGCCTGGAATCACATGGCTTCCTTTCTCCTTCCAGAGGAAAAAAAGAACTCCCCTCCCTCCCTTCTCCCTCCCTCCTCTCTTTCTCACATTCTCTCCTTCCCTCACCCCCCAGCCTGGGATTTTTCACAGATGTAGAAAATGCCAGTGAGGACTGAAGTTGCCAGAGCTGACAGATTCTGCCCCGGCTTACTTTAATCAAACAAAGACCACATCCACATGAGAAGAAGATGCTTTCCATAAGCAGTTCCTCCAGCATAACACATTTCCCTCTTGCTAATCACATTGTCTTTAGGCTCCAAGAGGCTGATTTGCAGACAACCCTCTGAAGAGTATTTGTGTGAAAGCACGGTGCACATACTTGGCACACGTGGTTTTTTCAAGTGTCTGCTTAGCTATCTTGTGCATGAGAACTGTTAGGAAGACAAAGAGAAAGAGGAAGGAAAGCTCTAGAATAGATACCACTGAGCTACAGCTCCTACCGTGGCTGATATTTGCTCGTTAATATCTGACAGCCAAGTGCTGGAGGAGACTGATGGTCAGGACGACCAGTTGAGTCATAAAATGCACTGCCAGAGTGAATCCATGGACTTTTATTGCCCTGATAATGACCTGGCTGAGGTGTTAGAGACACAGCTTTAATCGACAGTATGTAGAGTCAGATTTCCCAACTGTTAGAAATTAAGCACATTTATTTCTTACAAATTAAATTACCTGGAAGGGGGGGGGAAATCAGCCTCAGGTGCAGAAATATTTCATGTTTACCAACCAAACAGGTCAGTTGCTAAATAGCCCTGCTGGGTCCTGACACTTGGCCCAGAAATGGCATCTGTCTTCCTAACAAACAGAGGGAAGAAATGGCGACCTGGGAGTAAGGGTTTCACCCCCGTCACCTTTCCCAGCACAGGAGGGACAAGGACAGGGCCATCATTTCCTCCCAGTAGATGATTGAGGTGCATGGGAGACACCGCCATGCTCTCCTCCTCACGTGGACGGCGGATGACAGAGGTACTGTAATGGTCTCTATGTGGTTTTAACTTTCCAGTGAGGACACAAGGAAGTGGGGATGGCATCTGGTTCTGTGGTGCCACCTTCGTCCCCGAGGCTTTCTACCTTGAGCCTGATGTCCTGAAACACTGGGGACATGGGCCTGGGTGACAGCTCAGGCCACAGGGTGGGGACACTCTGCACAAGATCCATGGCCATGGCCGCCGATGTCTGCTCTTGCTCCTTCTCAGAAGCAGACGATGGAAATTTTTAGTTATTCTGAATCCCAGCTCCAGGAAACCTGCTGCCTGTTCAGCAGGGCCTCCTCCATCTCCCTGGATGGCACAAAATCTGTGTGGTCCCTCATGACCTTCCCCATGACCCTGAGGCATGGCACCAAGACAAACTGGCAACCAGAGCGCCTGGCTCCTCTGACTGGGATAGCACCCGGGGCTTCCTTCCACCTTGAAAGCTGGGGGCAGGAGGGAGGGAGTGGGTGTGGCACGGAGTGGGGTCCTCACCCACAAGGAGGGGACTGGGTTCTTCTGCGTGCCTGAGACACAGACTCTGCAAAACACGTGCAAAGCAACTCGACACAAGCAAACTCATGGACCCTTCCAGAGCCCGGGGGCTGATGGCAGCTGGCCCAAGACAGAAGCTTCTAGAAGCACATCTGTGATCAAGGCACAGCGTTCTGCCTCCTGGCTGCCAAGGTGGAACACAGGCTCTAACTGAAGCCTAAGGCGACTTCTAGGCCAGTGCGTCTCTTGAGTACGAGTGGAGGAGGCAACAAGGCGGCAGGAAGAGAAATTCCCTCCTGCTCTATGGCCGTCACAAAGAGCCCCCCAAATCACCAGCTACAGGACCCAGAAATTTAGGGGGATTAAAAAAAAACCCAACACATTACCAAGCACACATCGTCCTATGACCGGCGCCAATGGATCTCCTCATACCTCTGACTTGGTGTTTGCCCTGTGGGTTCTGGCAGAGGCGGCGGCTCAGGACACGGCAGCCCCATGTCTCACTCCTGGTCACCCGTCCCCATTCCTCACCTTCTTTTCTGGGAGCATGTTTAAACCAAGAGATCTACGTAACTTCCCACAGATAACAGGATGAGTTCACTCAGGGAAACGCTTCCCAGTGTCTAGTCTGAGTCCTGGGGAAAACAGAAGTGGTAGTATGTTCCACCCTCACTCACTCCCTGCCCTCAGGGGCTGGTGGGCAGAGGTGCACACTTCCCTGACTCCATGTCTAGGAGTATGCCTGGACTGCGATCCTCCCACCATCAGCCTCCCAAATAGCTAGGATGATAGGCCTGAGCCACTGAGGCCCAGCTCAGAAATGAACTTTTTACAATCCACACTCACATGGCAGAGGCACGGGGTAGCATCAGAGGGTAGCAGGGTTTCCTCTTCACAAGTGAGGAGCCATACTTGGGGGGAAACACCCAGAGTGGGCCCAGGGAACAGGTAAGACAGCCCCCTCCCCCACCCGTGTCCCCACCTAGT